CATAGCCAGCCACAGCAGGGGTCAGCGCCACAACAGTCTTACAACCCAAGCAACCCGATCCAGGCATATCAAGGACAGGCTTACCAGCCACAAGACTGGCAACAACAGTATCAGGGGTACTACGGGAATGGTCAAAAGCAGCAGTACACCGGTAGCGCTTACGACGGTTCTGATTGGGAACAAAGTCGCCCTCAGCTTAAGCCGCAGCGGTCATCTTTCTTCGCGAACGGGATGAAGAACACCCTCAACAAGACGAAGATCATGGGAAACGGTATATTTAACAGGAAGTAAATGATGGGTATAATAATGTCTAGGGTTTTTATAATAGGTTAGCATATACGACTGGGAGTTCCGTGACGGAAAATGAGTGTACCGTTAGCTTTGGTGTTAGGAGGAACCCCTTATGTATGTTGGTCATCTATAGAAATATCTGAAGGGCTACAAATATTAGCAAATTTTCAACTCAGTACATTATTTACTGCTGATATGGACCTTGTATGATGATTTGTCTATTTGATGCTAATTGTGTTTTGGGGATTCCTCGTGACATAGTTGAGCATTTATTTGAGGAAACAGGTTAATGAGAACCAGCCGCAGCTCCTAGACAATGAGTAAACCAAATCAAGATTCTCCATAATTCAATTACTTACATATTTCGAAAGGTCATTGAGTCTGGAACAAGGAATCCGATATATATTGTCGATAATTTCCGGTACTAACATGCATTAGGTACGTGTCTCTTAGTAATTTCATTGCTAGTGCACTTCGTAGATATAAGATGATATCTATTGAGTTAAGCAACGCCTATCAACAATAGAGTTTTTACGTACCCAGGTAGATTTAGCAAACATGATGATGTCGTCGTCGCCGATGAATGTGTAGTAACCCTAATCAACCCGTATGACCTAAGTCGTCATGCTAAAATTATTTCAAAATATGCACAGAGGAAATTCTTGCACTGACCTTTGAGTCAGCAAACTGTCAAACATAAGATAAACATCCATTTGGGGTTTCGAGTACCTAGCAACCATAGTCACTAGCTAAATGAGCTTCAGGTGGTATTAGCTTGAGCAGGTGGCCTATTCTTTTCCGTGAGAACAATCGCCGAAGAATTGATACCTCGAAGGTATGCACACACACACACACACACACCCATAAACTGTACGTGCACCTTCCAACATATACAAACACGTCTCTCTGTTTAACTCCTCGAGTCAACTCGTTTTTCCTGTGCACAACCTCTGCCTACATAACACGCGACTCTCCTTCACGCCTACTAAAATTTCCTTCTAGACAACCTAACCACCCAATTCTATCACAACTACAGCCTTTCAATTCAAAAGGGTTTGCCATCAATCTTCAAACCCGAAATCCTGCATTATCCTAAAGCTACACTATACCATAACGCGTAAATATTTCGTGGACCGTGGAGTTGTAAGTATCCCTTCAAAGGCCCTTATACATGTTTTTCTCGCATCATGCTTTCACAACACGCAGCTTTTCTATCCAGGCAACAATTTCTAATACTCTACCTCCAGTCTTCCCAAAATCACATCCTCCAGATCTTCTTTCTGTTTCGATATAACCCCTCCCAGTTATTTGGAGGACTACCGAACAGAGAAAATGGCGTCGTATAATCAGCTCAAAGAGCCTACCGGCGAGGACTATACTCTTAACTTCGATGTAGGAACACTGGACATCCCGTTGGACAATGAGCTGTTCATGCCCGTTGAGATGCATGACCAGGTTATCGATTTCTTTCATCCGACCCCCAATGAAATCGACACTGCCTACCCAGAGCACATGCTTAACAAATACATCGCCTCGGAGACTTGCAAGGGCCTGGAGAAACTTTCACAAATCAATCACTCTAATCGTGCTTCCCCTGTTCACAATACCGACCATACCCGGGTTGGCAACACATCGGATTACGAGCGGTATCATGCTAAATTCTTCGGTATGAACTCTGAACCTGATTCCGAGGACCCTATGCCGGGACCTGTGCAGGAACCTGAGAAGGAACCTGAGAAGGAAAATCGGTACCCGGAGGCTTACATGGACCCACGCCTTCTCACGTACAATCCCGCCTTTTGGGTCTACACCGAGCAGGGAAATAATGGACCTAATTTGTCATCGATGCCACAATCAAGCACTTCGGGACTCCTTCAGGACATCCAGGCCATGGGTGAGTTACTAATTCATTACATTATTATGTCAATCAGATAAGCTAATAACCATGCAGAGCCTTTGTTGGCCCAACAGTCTTGGGTTTCCTATGTAGCACCAGCGCCCTGCACGGAGCCGGCATCCTACACAGAACCAACGTCCAATATAGGTCTGACATCTTTTACGGAGCCGATATCCAATACACAATCAGTATCCTATACAAACCCGGTCTTTCATCCTAAACCGGTATCTTATCCGGCGCCTGTGTCTCATCCGGAATCCGTAGATTGTGTGGGTCCAACCTCTTATCCGGAGCCGATCTCTTATCAGGGATCCGCATCCCCACCGGAGCCAATGCCCTATACGGAATCGGTATTTCAGCCTCAACCCCGGCCCCAGCCACCCGAAGACGATAGCTCACAACCCTTCTGCTTGCGCCCCGACCCCATCGCAACACCTACTACTCCCCCTCCTAGCACTGGTGTCCAGAAGCGCAAGTACGAAAGTTACTACTTCGAAAAGGTTCTTGCAACGCAGTACGGACAAACAGTGGAGGAGTTTATTTCTCAGTATCAAGGTTGCTCCAAGACCCCCAGCACCGAGCCGGTGGTAAACAGTCCTGCCTGCAACCAGCCCCAAATGAGCCTATACCCTGAAGAGCAAGAGCGACCAATCAAGAAGGCCAAGGTTGACAGTCCGCAGGGAATAAATGCTGAGGATCTTTGAGAGAGACGTGCTGTGAACAGTGTGAAGAGGGTCATATGCACTAGGAGAATGGCAATAGGGGGAGGATTTCGATTTCTTTACGTTTGGCTTGCGGCATGCCTACCTAGGTACCTAGGTATGCATTTGATCTTAAAATAAGATCACGAGGAGGAATAAGGAGATGGCTGACGGACGCCAAATCATCACATGGTTTCCAGGGATGTTGCATAAAGCAACAATGACTTTGCATTATTGATTTATTTTCCCTTTTACTGCTTTTCTTTCCTATGATTTATAAAGCTCTCTTCCATCTGTGGGGTTATTTGGCAAACGGTGCTGAATGAAATGATCACCCTGGCAAGAGGATTACTCGTATTTAATGCTCAACTTGCGAAGCTTTTCGTTCCTTATAATACTTCGTCTATTATTATACTTGCAGGCAGTGGCCACTATTCCTTGGCGTACTATTCTGCACATATGGCAGATGCGATGGCTTTTTCTATATGCTCATAGTTGACAGCAATAGATTTCTTTAACCGCACATTGTAATCTTCATGTCCCATCTCTAAGCTTAGCCTTGGATCTTCATGTCCCATCTCTAAGCTTAGCCTTGGATCTTTACAAGTTTGGTAACCGTGAGAATTGTCCAAAAGGGGATACAACTAGATATCATATTTAAATATTTCAATGACTTGTTTTGGTTCTTAACAGGCTTTTCTAAAGCTATATCCCATCTGATACCGCAGCTATATCCTGATATTTGTTTGCGACCTTGTCTTTTGGTTATTCCAGCGATATGGAAGATCGTGATTGACATTCCAATTATGAACATGCTCAACTTCACACAAGCCATTGGCGTTTTAATGTTGCTTTATGTGGCCTTTAAAAATCAATCATGAATTAAAGGAACCAAGATCAATATACGTAAGATTGCTAGATGCAAATAGCCCAACAAGATATCCTTTTGACAGTTTGGAGTATGAGATAATTAGGAACATGGAGAATATAATAATCAAACTACTATCTATCAAAACTAATATCAACAAGATCACTTTGAAAAGCAAGCATGATATTTATATATCAAGCACTTCTAGTTTGCAGATGGAATATGTTTTCCTGCTTCCATGTCTCCAAACCTCGCTCCGTACAAGGTATATATTGATCTCTTTCGTAGTTTAGTTGTAAATTAATTCTTCTTCCATTTCAGATGAACTTCGTTACATCTTTATAATACACAACATTCACAGTGACTAGCCGCTTATTATGGCCAATATATAGAGTATAATTTCTATCAGCGCTTTCGGAATAGCCATACTGCTGGATATATGTTAGATCGTAGGTTTAGGGGTAATGGCCTTGGGGGGATTCACCTTCACCTGTACCGGGATATAGTGCATGTGTCACGGACCTAACTCTACTAAGCGAGCTCACTGTATTACCTACTTCCCTATGAACTGAGCATCCAGCTACCTTATAGGGTGATCTGCCCAGTATACATACCATGACTCGGACTTACAACCTGGATCATATACTGTTATATACATCCAGATTTTTGCCCTCTTATATGACTGATCGTACATAGTACGTGATAGTTATAGACTTTCTTAGCTATCAGTTGCTGACATCACCAAAATGTCCGTCCACATCTTAGCTAACGCTTTAATAATATCCACTCAGGGTGACTCAGGGTCATTACTACACAGTAACGTACCTTTGGGCAGACAGTCCTGGCAGGCCCACTGGTCGCAAACAAAATGGACATTATCATCATCACTATGTGAGGTCCTGACGCACCTTAATCGTACCTATGTACATATATGTTCGTACCTACAGCTGTACCAGTGACTCCTAGGATGGTTATCACTATTATCCATGTGCATTGACCCCCCCACCCAAATGGTATATAAGCACTTGATGCTTATCACCTCTTCAGCTTTTTTATTATTTCCTACTTACACTCTGCAGTATAAATGAGCACTCCACTAAGCAACCCTCTCTTCTGCTACTGTCATTAGCACTGATCTTCATAATTATTTAACATTACTCTTTGCTATCAAAGCGACCAACCATCTACACCTAGAGGTTTATCACTGTTGTCATCCGAGAGAACGCTAGCACTCTTCCGAACAATGGCGAACAAAAGCTCAACAGGTTACATGATGGGATCGCGCGAGAACCCTATCTCCCTTGACGATGATCCGGTCATGAATACCTCGTACCAACGTCAAGATGGGCAGAGCCGCGTTGGCACAGACCCCAAGACATCAGCTACCAATTCTCAACAGGGCTGGGGCAAGGGCAAATCAGCAGCTTCTACCAGCAATCCCCAGAAGAAACAGTCTACTTATGTTTTCGGAACTCGCCATGAACGTAAGTCCTCTATGTTAGAATACTATCTAAACGAATTGAAAATTGACAGTCTATCAGCTTGGAAAAATGGCCCATCTGACGAGGATTTCTTCGCCCCTGAAGCTCGGCCGCGAGGTGACGGTGATTACGGCGCATACATTCTGCGCCAGCAACTGCGCAGAGGTTCCGAAGCCGAGGAGGAAAAGCACCCCTTGGACCTCTCAGAAGATGAGGAGTGGCTGGTAGGCATCGAAAGTGACACAGACGAAGAAGTAAAACCCAAGAAACGGGGGAAAAAACAGAAGGGGCCGGTCCAGAAGCGGTGGAAGCCTGCTCGGGAGCCCAAGGTTAGCAGCTCAAAGGCGATGGACCATCTCATGGCCAGAGTAACGGATAAGAGCCGACGGGATGATTGAGCTAGTAAAAGGGATCTTGGGAATATCTCGGGGCATCATATAGGTGTGAGCATTAGGGGTGGGTCTACACATTATTAGTAGAGCTTTAAACAATACCCGATAAAAGAGTCGTGGTCCAATATAAAATGCTCATGCCATGAAGATATCATAATGGCTTAAGTACCCGAAGTAATATTAAGACTGGTAAGGGGGCTCTTCCCACACCACCTTACATATGGAGAAATTGATTATTTCTTAGAAGGACAAAGTGTGCTATCTAGAATTATATTTCCTAGCTGTTCCTTTTAATAAATACTTACCAGGTATCAAAGACTTTGAAGTTGTATGCCACCTGAGATACATGAGATTTCAGACTTTAAAATTATTCTACGCTACAACACCATCAGCTGATGCCTAGCACAAAGCGAATAAATCTGTGTTCACTGAAATGTACCGTGCTGTTTAGATAAAATCCTGCTTACTAGTACTAGTATGTACTTTGCACACCTACCATGCAGCTGAGCTTCTAACCTAATGTTCAAATTGGGAGGTTTTAATTAACGGGCAGTTACCTAATTCCTAACGAAACTTCCCTGTAGGCCTTTCTAGTCTACAAGGAAGGTAGGAAAGCCGGAAATGTTTATGTTATTGAGCGTACTTTCCTCAGACAATTGCCGTGACTACCTCATCGCGACTACCTTGATGTAGCTACCTTGCCGTAACTGCCTTAAGTATCTGTTTCGACGGTACAAAATATGTGCGTCACTAGGACAATATTTCGAATCGCATTGGCTCGTGCACTGCCGAAGGGCGTTCCTGCCTCTGAATTTGTGTTAAACTTTTACCGTACTCCGGTATAAATATCTAGCCCTCCTAATCTTTTCACACTTCCGTCTTCCTAATTTCTTTTTTATTTCTTCATCACATAACCAACATTAACCTAAGACATTAATATGTCCTTTACTAAATAACTTCTAACATTACAACCAATAAAGAAACTTACACCAATTAACTTCCAAAAGCTATTAATTTTAATAGTATATTATAACAAGGTAATTATATACCTAAAACATCCTTCCGTATATATTAACCTCATTAACATTCTCCTAGCTCAATTTGCTTGCACCTCTTGCGATTATGTCGCAATGACACGACCTAACCTTTCTGATCACATTCGACGTATGCACATCGGTGTGGATTGCCTCTTTCAGGGGTGCAACGTTCGCGTGACTTCGGAGGCCCTACTCCGGAAGCACATCTCGACAATACATGGCAATATCGCATTAATGGCAGTAGAAGATAAGATATACGGCACCCTGGAGACAGTGATACAGTTTGAGGGTAAAATAGCACCGTTTTACAACATGAAGATAGGTGAAGCCACGCCCGGCAAGTTCAGAAGGGCTGGAGAGAACAGTAAGTACTAAACCTAATGGAAGCAATGCATCAGGACCTAATTTACATTGGCAGAAGATGACAACGGCTGGGTACCGATTCTAATGCAGCCAAGACATCAATGCTGTAGCCCACACCTCCGCCTTTAAAATCACCATTACTCTATTCAATCAACAAATACTACCTAACTTATCATTATTGCAACAACTTTTGCAATCCATTATTATTCTTAATCATTTCCTAGCATGGATCAAGGTATGTATCTTAACCTAGAAAAGTTGCTATACTAGTGCTATATATAGGTTGCCGGCTAACAATTTGCTTGCTTTCAGGAGACTACTACATAACAGCGGTTACGGCTCTACGTGGACGGGCCAGGTATTCCAACAGTTACGTCTTACGGCGCAAGCAAGCCTGAAAGTTTATATTGTATTCCGAGAGCTGCCTGATGTCTTCCTTGTTCGGAACATCATATGACCGGGTAGACATTGAGCGCTATGGTTGTGAATTGGCCAAGGGAGGAGTAGACATAGAATCTTGTAGTTGGGTTAGAGTTCCTTGAGGAAAAACGAAGATGTTTCCACGCTGTTTAATTCCGCCTCGTGATATAAATTGATAATAAGCACTGAATTAATTAGTGGGCACGTTGCATATTAGTTACATACTTGTACTACAACAAGGCACAATTGATAGAATTAGATGAGCCTGGTTTAGGTACACCCTGTTACTACGCCCCCTTTTGAACAGACATTTTCTAGAAAGTAGGAGGGAAAGCTCCCATATAAGATTTCTTGTTTCGATATTCTATCCTAGTGACGATAGTTGATTGGGCTCTGTATTCTTAGCGTCTAAGAAATTCTCAATGCGGTCCGTTTTGCACAGTTGAGCATGAAACTGATGGGAATTCTTTAAAGCATCGACTCAAGATGCTTCTATCCTTGCTTGTTGCCGTCACGGTGTTGGTCCTCTCCTTCTCCTACAGCAGGCTAAGATTCATTCGGTTTCGCCAATATGCGCATTTCCCTCAGCATCCAACCTCGCCAGTACTCGGCCATCTCAAAGTACTTGGAGACTTTGTCAAACGTAATAGGCCCAATGCCCATGAAGACCTAGCTATGGTAGCCATGAATCAAGCTCTGGGTCGACCTAGACGCTCAGCACTATGACCAAGCCAAGAAAGGAGAACTAGTTGACTTGTTCGAAACTTTGCTTGATGCTTATCGTGGAGATCGTTTTAACTTACCATGGTGGTTCAACTTTCGCAAAGCCAGGAGACGAACCGCGTTATCGAACCGTATCGCTAGCCTGTTGAAAGACATCGTACGCCGCAAGCATGCTGAGCTCCATTGGGAAGAGAGGATATTATTAATGTTCGCAGCGTTCTTTCTCTCGGACTGAAAGATATTACGACTCTAACACCCAGCATCCAACTCCGGACATCCCCCTTTGCAAAACATGATACTGAACTGGTGCTGGTGTATCAGGTGACCTTGACCCTGATCATGTGATCATATTCTTAGTATAAGTACCATTTATGGTCGCACACACCTATTTTACATAGTATCATCCACTTTTAATACAAGTCATTCCTTTTCATCATCATCATCATCTAAAAGTCCTTGATATCAGGTCTAATAGGGCTTGATCCAAGGCCAAGACGTCTAAGTCTTGTTCAATACTACTAGTATCCTATTATCATGGGCATTCTATGAGCTCTCTCGGACTCCTCACGCATTAAATGCTGTTCATACCAAGCTAAACAGCCTCTTGGTCTACAACTGCCAAAGCATCATTCACAGAGATCCTAGGGCTTTTAGAGACATAGCAGACAATTTGGTACCCGAACGCTGGCTGACCGACAATAGCTCGGACGCAATCCCGGCTGGAGCGTGGCGCCCGTTTGAGCATGGGCTGCAGAATTGCATTGGGCTAGAGCTGGCCAGTATCGAAGCGCGCATCATCATCGCGCTAGCGGTCCGCCGATGTGACTTTATCAAAGTGGGAATCGGTGAGGTCATTCTGGATGAGAGCGGCCAGCCGAGCTTGGACGATACGACGGGCCAATACAAGGTGACAGAAGTATACCCGGTAAGTTATTGTGGTACACGGCCATCATTACGTATTTGGCTAACAGAGGGGATATAGATACGACAGGTGACGGCGAAACCAGTCGATGCAATGATGATGAGCGTGAAGTTGGCGTAGTATAGCTCTCTAGCTAAGGTGGCACGACGTAGTTTTAGATACTGAGGTACACCCGTTTCCATTTGAATGAGGTTTTTGAGCGCCAATGTCAAAGGTTTTTGGTCCTAGAAACCGCTATAAGGAACAATCCTACTCCCTTGGGCTGTCATGATTCCCATACAATAGTTTTGTGGCCGTGTATCGTGATAGGGCGATTAAATATCATTTGCTAACTGGAATAACTGATTTGTTCCTGCAATGAGCCTTTCTATTGTGATTGCCACAATAACATATAAAAAGAATTAGCTTGAAGCCATAAGAAAGAGTTAAGTCATATTTCAATACTACCTAGGTAGCTAATTATGCCTACTTTAAAATCCTCCCTTTACAAACAGACAGCTAGTTAGATAGTAAACATGGTAGTCACACCTTAAACAAACTGCATACCCTTTGCGAAATTAATACTTGTGAAATAAATATCTGCCTAGGGTATATATTAAGCAAATTTCACTTATACAAACTTGGAAGAAAGAATCTATACCTCTAAGCCCATGGTTACTAGAGTGTTGACTACATCTCAAATAATATAACAACATATAATAGTTATTTTTTTGACACATGGAAGTTAATAATATGATAAGTTTTAGTACCTAAGGTACTATTTCAACACTTCCACTCGTGTTTACTACATTTATAACTACCTACCTATATAAGTTAAACTTTACTTAAACCTAGCAGGATGTGAAGTTTTACAAGGTATAGAAACCTCAGTAAGATTTATCCAGCTGTTATGTTTACTACTACCTAATGCATAAACAATCCTTCACCAGCAAACTGGCATAGGCTTGAGACAAATACACCACTGGTTTAGTAATATTAATATTAAGCCAAGAGGTATAATTTGCAGGTTTAGAAAGGTATAAGTCCAAATCATTTTTGAGGATAAGTACTACCGAAAGCTCCCTTCTAGTTATAACTTCGTTTTCATCTTAAACTCAGACATCACCGAAAATTATAAAAGCCTCGGTCTAAGATTCATTCTATAGACTATCTCCTGAACAGCCTCTTGTAAAAGTTGAACCAAAGAAACTAAATTCACCCCGATATATTAGAAATATCATTATAAACTCTTAAATAGCACAAGGTCAATAGTATTAAAGCCGACTCTATACAGAGTGACCATTTCTCAGCAAAATCACCTATAGACTGCTGTGTATTTTCGCACGTATATTACCACGTATTGAACCTACCGATATCATGAAAATCAGAAATAATAATACTCTTGCGAGGGTCAAGCACGGAATAACAACATTGGCCATTGCTAAATCTCGGCAACTTGTACTCTTTCATCACAGATATATCCCTACTAAGCGAGCTGGCTTACTGAGTTACTTAAGTGTTACTTAATCACCTCAGCATCTATAAGGTGATAGATATCTTACTTTACGTACCTAAGTACTGTAGCTCATACTTACAGCTGCTTAGATATTACCACCTTCGTATGACTAATAGTATCTAATATGTATTATCATTCCATCATTCTTGTCTACTGAACAAGTCATCTTACTCATAGGTAATCAGCCAAATGATTCCTTGGAATCCGGTACGTATCTGAAATAATATGGAGAAGTAGGTACCTAGGTACGTATAAATGTTGTTTATAATCGTGAGTTGTTCAAGTCGGGTAGCTACTACTATTGATTGTCTAGAATCACTGACGATAGTACCATAGGTACGGACCTTCATTGCAGTCGCGTAGCAACTTATATTTGCAAGACCATGACATACTATAATAGTACCTAGGTACATACCCCTTTACTAAACTCATTGTTGCCTTCTGACAATCATTTGATACGGTCGTTACCACGTCCTCGCGACCTTCCTGACCCACCACGTTTAATAGCATTATAAGTCTCCTGATTCATCATGTTTGCCCCCTCGATATGCGATTCCATCGTCAAGTCGGCAGCTGGTATGGTCAATGCACATGCCATGAGCTGGATAACTCGTAGCAAACTTCTCGCTTGCCATAGTAATAGGTAGTATACATGTCATAATATCCACCAGCCTAGGTGTTAGGTTCGTACGTACCTATGTAGGTACGTAAGGTACAACATACTAATAGGTGGTATGTGCAGACCATTAGAAACATATATAAACCTGGGATCCCCCCCAGCCTGTATCTCAATTCCAATCTTTCTCTCTCGTCATAGAATAAGTACAACCTACTTCTTCTTCACTCTTCTTCACCAGTGCCTCAACCACACAACTACCACACTACTCCATCATCACAAAGCCACACCTACCTTGTGCAATAACCCTTTCTACTCTACTACTCTTACTACTTCCCAAAGGATCAACGAGCATTCACCATCATGCCTCGCGATCTCAAGAAGGGCTCATCGGTAAAACCGATTGCACTAGATGACGATGACGTCTTTGCCCCTTCACAGGGCAGCCGAAGTATGTACATTTAACTGTTTCCCACGATTCATATTGTCGGTTTTCTAACGTTATTCTACAGAGAGTGCAGGAAAGTCACGAAAGTACTCCAAGAAGTCCGCACGGGACTATGACTCAGATGAGTCTGATTCTGACTCTGAGTTCTACAAACCTACCCAACAAGAGCTTAGAGATAATGGCGTACTCAAGTACAAACCTCGCGCCATGGATCACCTTATGGTGAAAGTAGCGGGAGTCAACATCGATGACGAATCCGACTCAGACTCCGGCAAGGTCAAGAAAGCCAAGAAGGCTAAGAAGGCCAAGGGAGAAGAGACCAACAAACAGGCTCTAGAGAGACTCGAGCGTCAGGAAGCAAAGGCATATCGGGAAGCTATGAAACATTTTGCTCAGCCTGTGGACTCTGATTCAGACTCGTACAAGACCAAGAAGGCCAAAGGTGACAGAAAGGCCACGAAGGGAGATGCCAACAACATGGCCCTGCGGAAGCTCGAGCGTGAGGAAGCCAAGGCACACCGGGAAGCTATGAAACAGTTTGCCCAGGCTTCAGACTCCGAACTCGAGAAGCCTTCGAAGAAGAAGAAGGGCAGCAAGCACCATTCTCGGGCTGCAGATTCGGAGTCCGAACTTGAGAAGCCCGCTAAGAAGAAGGGAAAGTCCATGTGGTCAAAGTGGATGTAATGAAGGGCCTCGAGACCTAAGGTCTTCGTGCGATACAGGGACATCTCAACAGGTAAGCCATTCATCATATAAGATTACTTAATGATACAAATACTAACTCTACAGGTGAACCTTGGGATTAGTTGGCTCAACCCAACTATCGGCAGGAATCGGTGGTCAATGGTATTACAATGCCTTGCTTCCTTTGCGGTGGATCGAGGGCATGGAGGTTGTGCGGGGACAGGAATCGGGATAAGTCAGACATCACTGCTGTGTTCTTGACTGTGGCACTCTGACACTATATTTCTCTCCTTGTTGGTTGAGTCTATTTCGTGTTACTTTACACATCAGACAAACCTCACATATAAATCAACTCCCTCTCATTATACAATCCTATTCCATAAACACCGTGAGATCTAATGTAAAGTGATATGTATTAATATAGGTTATATTACATAACTATTATGCATAAGGTATCTGTTAAGAGCTTTCCCTTTAGACACCTTCTTGATTAAACCAATTTTATCAGTGTGGATTCGCCGGTTGTGGGTGATAGTCCCTCAATTTGACGCAACGGCTGTTATATAGGATATATCCCCCAGCTTGTTACTTAACATATATTGTAGTTAGTAATTATATCTTTACAACTCGTCTCGCTTCGATGATATAAGGATCTATCCTCGTTAAGTTGCATAAGCCCCTATCTTACGTAATCGTATTAGGTACAATCATTGCAGGTTTTTTGGAAGACATTTAACGTACATGAATAAATCTAATTTAATAAAAGTTCCAGATATTAGAGTATCATCGAGTATGTTTAGCTTTTAAATTTATAATTGCGTGTTAAGTGGTTGACTTTTGAGTTGAGCCTTAAGGTTGAAATAAAGCGAATCAGCCCCATTTTTAAATTACGGGCCGGCCTAGGTACAATTCCCCACACCGCTTAAATCAGCCACGGTTGAGGTCAGCCACAGCTTTCTAGCTTATCGGCAGAAAAAAAAAAAAGTTCTGAAGATTAAAGTTATCAGTCGGAAAAGTTCACGTCGAATCGCAATCAGCAATCAGCCAACCAAATACAACAATTTCCAATTGAAACCACAACTATGGGTAAAAGCAAGCTGAAAGTTGCCCTCGCGGCAGAGAAGGGAGTTGACTTCAAAAAATTGAAGGAGAAGAAGAAACATAAGGAAAGAGTTAAGAAGAGACAGGAAAGAGAACCTAAGAATGGTGGGGCTGCCGATGAAGACGATAGCGACTGGGAAGGTGTCAATGAAGACGAGGACGAGATTGAAGGTGGCGCGGGGCTCATAGACGACGAAGCCGAAGAAGACAGTGATGACGAGGACGAAAACATCGACCTTGCCGCCTTAGATGAAAGCGATAGCTCCGACTCGTCGGTAGATCTAGAAGAAAAGATAGAGCGTCCGCGAAAATCCGTATTAAAAGCGAAGAACGCCAAGGCAAATGGAAAGAAGAATGTCGACGAAGATGAAGATGAGGATGAGGAGGAAGACGACGAGGACATACCAATGTCCGATCTAGAAGATCTACCCGACGACGAGAAAGAAGACTTAGTCCCACACTCACGCCTCACCATCAACAACACCACCGCACTACTCGCCTCTCTAAGCCGCATATCCATACCCACCGACAAATCAGTCCCCTTCGCAACACACCAGAGCATAGTCAGCGCTGAGGCCACCGCCGGCAGCATCGAGGACATCCAAGATGACCTAAAACGCGAGCTCGCCTTCTACGCGCAAAGCCTCGACGCCGCAAAGCGTGCGCGCGCGCTACTCAAGGCCGAAGGGGTCCCGTTCTCCCGACCAACTGACTACTTCGCCGAGATGGTCAAGGACGACGGGCACATGGAGAAGGTCAAGGCGAAACTAGTCGAGGATGCGAGCGCCAAGAAGGCCTCCGCCGAGGCCCGCAAGCAGCGCGACCTCAAGAAGTTTGGCAAGCAGGTCCAAGTCGCCAAGCTCCAGGAGCGGCAGAAGGAAAAGCGCGAGACGCTTGAGAAGATCAAGACGCTCAAGAGGAGTGAGTGTCCCCATAGATTTTATTACTCTTCACTATGCTATATTTCACTATACTAACAATATCCCCCAGAACGCCAAGAATCCTCCGGCGGCGACCTCGGCACCACTGAGGCAGATCTCTTCGACGTCGGCGTCGACAACGAGATAGGCAAGCACAATTCCCAGCGTGCCTTCTCGCGGGGCAAGGACGGCGAGCGCGCCGGTCCCAAGCGCCAGAAGAAGAACGAAAAGTACGGCTTCGGCGGCAAGAAGCGCCACGCCAAGTCCGGCGACGCCGCCAGCTCTGGCGACCTGAGCTCCTTCAACGCCCGCAAGATGAAGGCTGGCGGGTCGAGGGGTGGGAAGTTCGTTAAGCCGCGTCTGGGCAAGAATCGGAGGAACGCGGGCGCTGGGAAGCGGTAGTGTACCTAATAAATAGGACGAACAAGGGGAAGTTCGTAAAGCAGTCGGATTTCGGACTTGGGATAAAAGCATAATTGTCGTAGAGATACCAAAGTAGCCTCACAAATCAAGGAGCTATGTCCAGGGAAAGAGAATTCGTCTTGATCTGCATTGAAGATGTTGTTGTCGTTTACTTGATTAACTGTATGGATGTGCATCATACACTATTTCAGAGTGTTCTCTCGTGCGTAATGATTAGTCTAAGTGCGCTTATACCATACAAAATCCAGCGTTGAAACCAGTTGTCCGCAGAGCAAGAGTCTTTTCAATATATACGAGTTCTTCTAGACCTTAGATTATATCAACATATCTACTTGCGCTTAGAAATCCTCTTCTGCGCCCTAAGCTCCTTCTTCATCCTAGCATCCACAATCTTATACCTACCCTTAACACCCTTAGGTCGGCCCTTGATACCCCTATTCAGACCCCTAGCGACGACCAGCTTAGCAGGCTGCCTGTTAGGTTTCTTCTTAGCAGCCTTAGATAGAAGCTTGGAGATGCTATCGGCCTTTTCCTTCTCCGTCATGCCCTCCTCGCTAGCTAGCAGATCCGACTTCTTCTTGATCTTCTCGAGGCGCTGCGCCGCCTTGAACTTCTTGCGCGCCTTAGCTTCGCGGACCTTCTTGATGGGTCGCGCGTTCAGTGCGCGCGTCTTCTCTTTGATGGCGGCTGCTGCGGCCTTTGTGATAGGCTTTTGTGGCCTGTCATGTTTGCCTTCGTCGTCTATAAACCAGTCAGGTAGACCGTCGCGATCCCGGAAGGCACGCTTGTTGAAGCCGTCGTCTATTACGTCGTAATTGGTCTTTTGACCCGTGGCGAGTTGATGCGCGAGCGTCATAGCTTCGGCGGTGATGATGTCGATATCTATTATACTTGTTAGAATATAATGTTGCGACGTATAGAGGATATGTCATTCTTACCCATTGTCCCATCAGCTCGGCGTTTGTCTTCATCTTCCCAGCGTTCCTCCAAATCTTGATCTTGTTTGACAACTTCAAATCCACCCTGGTCATCCTCAGAATCGGAGAACACCTCAGCCTTAGCTTTCTTTGACTTTTCCTTTTTGGTCTTCGTCTTCTCCTTTGTTATGGCTACTAGTTTCTGAACTTTGGGGGGCTCGTCCTCGTCTATGTCCATTTCATCATCGATGATACCTGGTATATCTTTGAAGATATCCTGACTGAAGAAATTCGCGGCTCGTTTCGAAAGCCCGTTGGATCCCGCTGGCTGGTTATCTAAATCAGTGAGGAGCGGTTTTGAGGGCTCCGAGTCATCATCGTCAGAATCCTCACTGCTGTCCTCATGTAGCTCGCCATCGTCGCTAGACTGTTGTTCGTCGGCTGACACACCTTCCCACTCCTCATCGTCGTGCTCTTGCCTGGCTTTTTTCGCCCGGTATTTCGCGTCTGACTCTGCTTTCCGTTCCCTGTATTGGTCGTACATGCTATCGAGTTCGCGTTCCAGGCGGTCCTCCTCTTCATCTTCTTCGTCATCCGTTTCACCCGAAGACCCAATACCACTATCTCTGTCTTTTCTAGCCTCTGACTCACTAAGGATAGCCATTTTTCCTTTTGCGATTTTATTGGCAGCTCCGTGTTTGTCGATGGGCTTAAGAGCAAACATAGAGTCGGGACCAGCAGGACCAACTTGTTCCATACCGATATCCATAGGGGCAACCATGTGCAATTGCATCCGTACGATCTCCTTTTGCTTCTTCTCATTCTCTCTTCGTCGTTCACGTTTCTTCTTGGAGCTGTCCTTGTCTTTCAATGCCTGCAATTCTTCCTGAATCTTCAATTCCTCGTCCATAGGTTCGACTTCCGCAACCTCCTCTTCGGGCTCGGCGAGTTTCGAGCTCTTCTTAGTTGGCAACCCGAAAGCCTCGCGGGCTTTTAATCTCCATTTCAATAGAATCTTGAATTCTCTCCGGCCCAAAACCTTCAAGTCTGCGCAGCATATTCTGATTTCTTCCGTAGTATCGGGCATCTTGTCCAATGCGGCAAGCGCCACATCACCGTTGCGTGGTTGCTCGAAAGAGAGCTTATTATAGCTACCAAGTATCGCTATAGGATCAATAGTCTCGATGAACTGGCTTGCGGGAATCTCCTTGAACTGGATATAGTCGCCCTCTTCGTAACCTCCCCTCTTCCGCTTCTTCACCTCAGGCTTGAAGACCTTGGCCTCATTATTGGGGGCCTGCTCTGCTAGTTCGGCGAACACTGCCCGTGGGTCGAGGAACTTCGGGTCGAGATGTTTAGGAGCCTTGAAGCCACGACATACGACGAAGATTTCAGCGGAAACGTTTCTCGAGGACGGGGGTTTTGTCGATTCGACTTTGGTAAATAGTTGGTTGAAGACCCAGAGGAGTTTATTGTACTCTTTCGACCTAAAAACTTTGGTGACGAATGTACCGCCCTCAACGAGAAACTCCGTTGCCAACTTCATAGACTGGAGAACAAGCTCTGCTTGGTTGAAGGAGTCCTGGACCCAGGCGGTACCAACGTTGGGAGCACCATCGTGAAGTACAGTATCGGCTTTCCACGTCTTCAAGTGTTGTCGGATTGTCGCACGGCACTTTTCGGTAGTAATGTCGCTCTGGAAGGTTATGACCTTTGGAATAGGTTTGATTGGGGAGAGATCGACTCCAACAATGAGACTATTCGCAGGCATAGCCTCTGCCGCTACCTGACACCATGACTATATTATACTGTTAATTTATAATCATCTGATCTTGTGTAGGGAGATGACTTACTCCAGGAGCAGCGCAGAGATCCAAGAGGACCTTACTCTTCTCGAGGAAGCCATATTTTTTGTTCAGCTGGATTAACTTGAAAGCAGCTCTGGCCCTGTATCCCTTTTCCTTGGCTAATCTATACCACTTATCGAGACGCCCCTTTCCGTGTTTCTTCTGGATCGCCATGTTGTTTCAAGCGGCCTCGAATTGACCAAATGAACACGGCTTATGATGAATCGACTATGGATGATTGTCGCTGGCGCAATCAGTTCATCAGTTCATCAGTTCATGTGTCCCGCATCAATCTTTGGAAATTTTCGAGGAATTATTTCTTTGATATGCTTATCAGTGGATTAGAATGCCGATAAAGACTCTTGGCAGATTTATCAGTGGCGCATTGATCAGTACATAGGTACCTATGTATAACTATGTATTCGTGTGAAGTTTTAGTCCCATACTGTGCTAGATGCACAAGGCAAAAGGAAATGGCGTTTATTGGCTATCTTAGGGCTGTCGGTTACGGTTTTAGGTAATAGACGGTCCTAGCACCTGCCATAATCGTCTCAATTTTAGGTGTACGGATTAAACACAGTACCAATAGTAAGACCCACGCGTTAAACCCCGGTCTCTAAAAAACGTCATTGCCTTTTTGGGTCGTGTAAGTGGTTTTTCGTGTTCTCGCGTCTTTTCGCGGGCGTGTCTATGGATACGGCACTGTTCAAACTTCTTACCTCCGAACCGGCCAGAATCCTTACCTGCCATCCTATTCCCCACCATTACAATTCACTTTGTTATCCTCTTCAAGTCAATCCAAGCTTGTCTTAGTTTACTTTCTTGTTTATTATATTAAATTGACCCCATCTATATCCTCTTGATACTAGATATCTGGTTCCAAGGGTTTAACCTAAGGGCATTGGTGGCATCTGTCCTTCCTGTGGAGGCAAGTTGTGGACCTAGCAGAAGTAGAAGACTTGGAAGTAGAAGACTTGGAAGCAGAAGCAGAAACAGAAACAGAAGCAGAAGCTATAATGGCCGACGATGCATCAAATTCAAGGCTCCTCTCGCCGCCCAGGGTCATGAATGGTAAGGAGAGAAGAAACCCATCAATTACTCCCAGGAAGTTCCGACGGTTTTTTACTCCTCGCTCTCGAGTACCTACGCGTATCAGCCCGGCAAGAAAAGCTCTAAAGGATCTCGCCGCCCCTGGGTTGAACAATCGGTATCAGACGCCCGCTCCCTCTAGTCCATTGAGACCTTATTCGGAGGAACATATCCGGGATGAGAATGTCGATGCCGTGGATGCACCAATACCCAAAAGACGAAAGTTCAACCATACTCCCGATTCTTCGCCTTGTCGACCCCCTTTAATCTGCCAGTCGAACCATGTTGGATTCGAAGCGTCACCGGATACCAGGCCAGCCCTGCTCAGCCCAATTAGATCTATTCGTTCTAGTCAGGAGAATATCGATTTAGAGGATGATGCTAGCGAGGATGAACTCCCATCATGGCCAATGCCAATAAGACGGCTCGCACCTTTGACGAGTCGCGGCTTTGCCGGTCAACTTGCGCAAAGACAACTAGGGGGGATGCCTCAGGCTGGACGTTGTTTCATGTCGTGTCCAGCCTCGGACTGGAGGATTGATGCTGCCGACTTTTACAGCAAGCCTGATGATGTTCATTCCTGCAATAGTCATGACGGTCAAGGCCGATGCATACCATTTTGCGCCGCCGCCTGTCATAAGAACAGCTTGACGGCAATAGGAGATGAGGAAGGTCGAGTCCGTCTACTAGAATCGTCTGGTGATTCATCTGAACCATTCCGCAAGATTCATCTATGTTTCCAGGCCCACACGAATGCCATTATCGACTTGTCTTTCTCTGATGACGATTACCGTCTGGCTACTGCATCTGGCGATCAAACCGGAAGAGTTATAGATATGATGACACAGACTCCAATTGCGATTCTTCAAAATCATACCGCCTCTCTGAAGCAAGTTCGTTTCCAACCAGGCAAATCCAATGGCAGTGTCCTCGCAACATCTTCCCGTGACGGAAGTGTTCAAATATGGGATCTTCGTTGTGCGGGGAAGCCAGTGCAGGACATCTTAGCACCGGAGGAACGTGAAGTCTCTTTACGATACCGGCGCCCAGCACCCAAGCAAGGCTGTGCTATCAATAGTCTATATCATGCTCATGTACGCACGTCACGTCAAGCTCAGCAAGCGTCAAACCTTGGACCCGGTGATATTCCGTCGCATCGTGAGCTACCAAACCGAGTTGGTGATGTGTCTGTTACAGCACTCCAATTTTTACCCCCGGGACGAGAGCATCTGCTACTTACTGCATGTGAGGCGGATGCTTCTATTAAACTTTGGGATATCCGCGCCATACATTCGTCTCGCCAGAAGGTTCCCTCTCCGTTATCTGTAACCGCCCCACCCTCTTCGCATCAGCATTGGAGACCCTTTGGGATTTCGTCTTTAACACTCAATACTGATGCCTCTCGACTATATGCGGTGTGCAAGGACAATACTGTGTATGCTTATTCAACCGCCCATCTCATGCTGGGACACGCTCCAGAACTCTCTACGCGAAACGGCGAGCCACCCCGTCGACGACACAATGCGGTACCTCATCAAGGCCTAGGACCGTTGTACGGGTTCCGACACCCGTCGTTTCATGCAACTAGCTTTTACGTCAAAGCCGCCGTCAGGCCAGCCCGTGACGGCAAGAGTGAACTTTTAGCTGTGGGAAGCAGCGACTCTTGTGCTATGTTGTTCCCTACACAGGAGCGATATTTCAGAAATGACCTTCTAGGTACGATGGGCTCTTTAAGTCTAGAAGATTCTACGATAGGCGTTTCTCAGAAACAAACGGCATTGAACTTAAGCTTCTCATCTGCGGACTCGAATACAGTGCGCAGGCCGCTTTTCCGGACCAATAGTACTGCCAATCTCTCAGCCAGACTCAACGATGATATACCAATTGTTCGGATGGGAGCGCCACTTGTTCGAGGACACGAAAGTGAAGTCGGCGCGTTGGCTTGGACGAGCGAGGGTAAACTCGTGACGGTGGGTGACGACTATTTGATTCGGTGCTGGAGCGAAGGGAGAGAAGAGGCGGCAGACCTGAGGACAGGTGGCGAAACGGGTGGTCGACGTTGGGGATGCGGTTGGGCGGATGTTGGAGACGACTGGGATCAGCTCGATGACGACGAGTAAATGAATGAAAGGGTAAGGTTACAGCATGGCGTCAGGTTGGAACTAGTATTCAGCATTGAGCATTACAGGCTCTGGATTATACCCCTATGTTTGCTTTAGAGCTTGGCGAACAAGCTCCCTTCTGCGCATGAGTTCAGATTTAATGATGTTTTTCGGTACTAGAGGAGCCAGCCTTTATGATTCGATGTTTGGTGTCTTGTGGCCTTCTGACGAACGCTTTGTCTGCGTTTTAATGTATATTTTCCTGTAGAGTGTATAAGTCAGTCACGAATGTAATATACACTAGGACTGCTCAGATAGTAATCAATGAATTAAAAACAATAACGAAATGCCTTTCCAGAGAACAGGTTGACCTCGAGATAGTCAGATAATCTTCGAGTGTTATGCTACACAGCTATAGAAGAGTAGTTCAAGGCTGATTGCACAAATACAAACCCGGAGCCCAAGTATACCCCCTTTGTAAGCCGGTCCTTCAAGTGTCAACGTATTGCACTAAAAAGCATTCCCCAATCAGCCTACCTATGCCCATATTATAGTTGGACATCAGTCGATGTATGTCTGCTATCAGTTGAGTAAGGCTCCCGTTATTAAACTATAAACAGGCAATGCTTTCCCTTATACGTCGAACTACGATGTATCTCATACAAGTTGAACAAATCAAAAGGCCGGATTAATAAAATTCGGTCAATCATGGGCACTCTACTTGATCCAATCAAGCCCTTGGTTCTGCTGCTTGTAATTACCTCCTGCCTGTAGGGCTGCATGCAGACATACTATAAGCTGCTGCGACATGCAGCTATCGAATCAGAACGACGCTGATTACATGCGTGCAGCTAACGAACTGCCAGGTAGACATACTAAAACAACTTGGCAAGTCCTCCTATATTATATGTATGTATCTAAGGCATGTTTTGCCCTTTGATATGTAGGTAGCTACCTAAGCTTACTTACCCGATCCTCCTCTTCTATGTAGGAAGATCACATCATCATTACCATAGACAGCAAAGTTCCAGAACTGGTTACCAATTGCAGCTGAACGATCCTACTGCAGCACTTGCATGGGAGAAAGGAGGAAGAAGAGAAAACAAAACGCGTTGCTGCGTTATTTCTCACCGCCAGTTTCTACTGCCCGTTTGTTACGCGTGTCGACAGTCGCTATGGAGCTTCCCGCATCTATGTACGTACATAGTCAGGATTGTGACGATGGCCGCAGGTCCCGTAGCCTGGCAAATAGATTGACGGGCGCCGCTGAGTGGACGGATAACTCGATAGGCCGCATATTCGAAGACCCAGCGCGGAGCAAACCAATAGTTACACTATCTTCTTGTTCTCTTAACTACCTAGTTATTCTTACTCGCTTGTCTTATAGCGATTTATGAGGCCATCTGACGATGCTTCTCTTCGTTAGGACTTTCATGCGGATGGACGTAAATCGAGAGGGGCCAGCCCGTCATTATTAATAGCAACTCGTTATTTATTAGCTACAGCCTATGCCGAATAAGAAAATCGGGTGGTTGGGGGGATCGGGATCTGGTTCTCCTTGTTGGCTATTGGTCAATGGCTTTCCCCCGGCCAGGCTCCCCTGTCAGCATCCGCGACACAGCAAACTGTGGTAATGCGACGCGCGCGTATGTATCAGCGCTATCTACGGTTTCGAACCGAACCGAAGAATGTCGTCGTGCTTGGGCGAGAAGAGCACCTAAGACCTAAGATTTCGATAAACTCCCAGCTGGTTGTATCTTGGGAATACACCACATGGATAACCCGAGCGTGTTCCCGTAGCACAGTCGTCGCTAGCCGTGGGCTACGAGACGAAATCGCACAGTTTCTCCGTTGCTTGGCCTGAGACTAAACCACTCTCTGACTTTGCGCCCCACGGGTTATGCCACATGAGTGTGCTTCAAGTGTCTTAGACAGTGCATCGTGGCATTAGCCCGTGGACTAAAAACCCGTAGCTACGGGACGGACACCGGCACAAGAATATCGTCCTGTGAAGTCTGAGTACGAGAACAAGTTGAAAAATAACTCGAATGATGATGTAGAGAGCCGAGGTAGCATGTAACGACGCCTGAGAGCTTGTTAGTACGGGGGTACGAGGTTTCATCCATGCTTTAAAACTCGAATTATAAAGAAAGCACCAAAGACCGTATGTAGGTAGACTCGAAAGTCGAGAAATGAACCCGTCATATATGTATGTATAGGCCATTGTCTCGATGACGAAGCCACTATCTAATAGGCTTGATATCGTAATAATCATCGTCGCCAAGTTTGACTCAAGTGACCAGACTTAAAAGAAAAGTCTGGGATGGGAGGCTACGTAGTTAGAGAGATAAAGACGTTGATAATAAGTCCCCTGAACCCTGTCGTTCCTGGAAAATATCACTCTTTGGGACGTGTTTGCGCGCGTGGCGGCTGGACCCGTCATAAAAGTCCAAAAAAAAGTACCTATTCATGTATGTAATTTCTAGGATCGTCAAGCCGAACTTTTAATTACTCCTTTTCTTTTTTTTCTCTCGCATCAACTCTATCGAAACCATACTTAAGAGACTCGATAGAGCAGGCTGATAAATAGTATCATAAAAGTCTCAAGAGCCTAATTATTATATTGTTATATACTTCCAAGTTGCACAGCGTCCAAGACTCGAAAACTCCGTCTCGGACCCGAATCCTAGGGAAGCTTGTTGGACTCAAAATTAGACCTCCCGTCCGGTCTTTGTTGACCACAGCTCTAAGCATTAGGCTCTCTCTATCTAGGCTCTACCTACTAGGTTAGCAAAGTCCCCCGGCAAAAGTGGACAACTCATCTTGCATCAAAGCTGCTGCACGATAAACGGCCTCTCATTCGCTTGTCACCCACAGCACGTTAGGTCTCTTGTTAGAGATCGGAAACTAAACTGTCTGCACCCGGTAACCAGTACTACACAAGGCTCGTTGGTTATTTGGATATGGCTTCTTGACACTTGACACGATATCTTCTTTTATCTCCTTTTCCTCTCTATCTTCCCCTTGCCTCTTGGCCTCGCGTTTCCCCAGTCCAGCGTCGCATCTAGAGGGCGAGCGCTTATAATACATAACGACCCGACGCGGACGCGTGTATATGCAACCGTACCGTACGGAGAGACGATATCAGAAGCTGGGTCTGTTCCTGCAAAGAACATTAGTTCATCCTACAGTTCTCCTGAATAATTAGTTCTGTTTTTATTTATTATTCCGTTTCCACGCGGACCGTTAGCCAAGACATATATTCCTACGTATGCAGATACATGCGCCGCGTGCCCTCCTATTAAGAAGCAGCAGAGAAACGTTCGAGGCTCGTGCATCATTATCATCATCATCATCGCCCAACCACTTACTACATACATACATACATACCTACGCATACATACGTACATCTTGCTATAAAAAACAGCCTATGAGAACGCCCAACGCTAATGTCGACTTCTGGAGCCGCTTAGAAAAGAAGTTCGCGGGGGCCAAGAGGTTTTTTTTTCGACATTATTCGACATTATAATATACCAGACCAGTCTCGTAGCGGATCGAAACTCCACATCCGTCCCAAAAGCCTGGAAACTCGCCAATCGAGGAGGCCCTCGTTGACCTCACACCGCCACCAACCACCACTCAACTTGGTTCGTTCCTCGGGATCACGAAAAAAGCGGCCAGCCTGCTTTCCCAGGTTTTCTGCCAGCTCTCCCCCCCTCCCCTGTCCGGCGGAGATCTCCTAGGTTAGGTACCTAACCTAACTTACATACGCTACCTACCTACCTATATATGACTTACCCTGGCTAAGCCGTTGTTGTTGTGGTTGTACCATTCGCTGGTACGCACGCTCGCTTGATCAGCGGAAGAGGGTGCGCGCGCTACTGACGTCGAAATGCTTCACGGTCGAATAAGTCATAGAACACCTGCCACCACCACCGTCGCCGCCGCTGCAGCCCTACCTCAGCCTCCGTCCTAAAACTATTTCCTCCTCGGTTTTTTTTTTTTTTTTTAACTTGTCTAAATTTATTTTTTCGTGCCCATTTTGGCCCAATTCTGGACTTGCGACTTGGGTCTGTCCCCTTGTATTACTTTCGCTGTATCATATTGGTCAGTATCCCCCCCTCCAATAGCAGTGCCAGCGCAGCCCTTACCAGGGTAGCTGTGGCCGATGAGCTTGCGCCAGCTAATACATCGCAACGCTAGTCTACTGTAATATTTTCGAATGTTTAATTTTGGTTGCGTCGTACTTCTTGGACCAGGTTTTGTGTAGGAAAGTCGTCTCTATCAGACCTTGGAGTTTGTCTACTTTGAACAGAAGAAAAAGGGACCGACGCGGACTACGGAATTGGGACGACGCTTTAAGTCCACTCGCGTGTTTTCGACTCTTCCAGCAACCACTGCTTCTCATGCTTACATTGGGATTGAGTCGCGTTGCCAGTCATTCGTTATCGAAGTCGTTTGCAGCTAGTGGAAGCAGTTCAGTCTGGGCTTGTGTCGCGACCAGCACGCCTCTTAGGGAAGGAAGTCTTTCTTGAGAAGCAGCAGGTTTTGTGAGGTATGTTAATCCTACATCGAACCATTGCCCCTATACGTCCTCCTATCATACGTTTTCTAGTATCCATAGAGATATCCTCATCCACCTGTGTTACCTGTACAACGAAGAACCTTGCAAATACCGAGACCATATTTCCTTTCGGTCATCACTATACCCTCTATGCTCGCAATTACCATTCAACCCTCTTACGCAGTATAACAGGCTTAAGCACATTTCTCACATAATATTAGGGCCCCGGTATCCACCCCCCCTTTCCGGCGATCTTTTCGATGGCGTCCTCCGAGGTGGACCAGAAGTTCCTCGGACGCCTCGCAAAATCTGTCGAGCCCAACAATGCGCTGCTCGCGTCGATGCTGTTTAAGATATTGGGGCTTTCGATCAACGTAGCCGGGCAGTTAGTGAAAGCGCGCAAACAGCGCCGCCTCGATACCACGCGCGTGACTCAGTCACTCGAGCTCTACTTTCACATATTATGGCTCTCGCGTGAGGGCCTCGTCATGCTCGAGCAGTATGTTTTACCCATGGTTGGCGACTACGTCGAGCTCAAGGTCCTCGCGTACAAACTACGCGCGTCCTTCTACCACATATTCGTCCTATTTCATAACAACCCCCCGGTTTCGCCCGTGGGAATTGCGACGACACCCCAGGCTCTCGCCGCGGAGATGACGCCGGAGCCGTTACGGGTCGATAAGGGGAAGGGCGTGGATAGGAGCAACCCGGCAGCATTCATACCGCCCCAGTACTTGCGATCGTCGGTACAGCCAACTCACCCGTATGAGCAAGGCGCACCAGCACCGCCCCCCGGCTTCGAGGCGCAAGTGCAGATGCCGAACTTCACTCCAGAAGCGGCGGCCGCGTTTCTCCTACCGTCCGTAGACTACTTACCAACAGCACACCAGTACTTCCGGGAGGCTATTTCGTTAGCAGATAACTTGTTATGGGGATCGCACTCGCTGCGACTTTCCGTGAAAACGGAGTACGCGGCGTTCCTATACGATTGCGTCCACGACCGAGAGGGAAGCCGACGATTGGCGAAACAGACGATCGCGGAGGTGTACGAAGCGACGGAGGGCCTGGACGATGATATGTACGACGACGCGTGCGAGCTCGTGACTGTGCTCGGCAAGATGATGAAGCGCGGCCTGGGAGCGGGAAGTTCGCGAAGCGGCGGAAGACCCAGTCCTAGCGTGACGCAAGCTGCCGCTGTTTCCCAGAGCGGCGAGAGCAGTGCGACGGTTGTACCGCCTGTTCCGCCCGTCGGCATGGAGAATCCAATATAAGGCCAAAACACGATTATATCTCAACTAATAAGGATCCCAGAAACACTATTCCCACACATACCACGAACAACCTCTACGAATGATAATAATTCACAGCTATACACTCATAACGGTTCACGTCAATGCCGTATTCCTTGTAATTAACTCAACCATACCCTACCCAGAACGTACACGACCAGCACATCCCAAGTGTTCAGAATTATTAACTCAAAAAGGGGGAATTTGCCGTACCTACCTACATACCTACCTACATACCTCATACATACACGGACCCTACCACGTCTCATACCCACCAAGAGACAACTAATAACCACCCACCGGCATCCCATCCCATCCCATCCCATCCCATCCCCCTTCCCAGCACTTTATTTTTCTCGTTCATAAAAAGCGTTTGATGATACCCAGCTCCGTCCTGCGAGGCGGACAGACGGATAGAGAAAGAGGTGGGGACTACGCGCCCTGCCCACCATTGCATTACATACCATGTGTATTAGACAGCATAGCTAGTTAGTTGCAGATAGTTGCAGCGTATTTAGTAGTTCGAGGGCTTTATAGCTAGAGCTCTTGTTTTGAAACATTACAGAAAAAAGTTTTGCAAAATCTTAATAAGTAAAGACTTCGTAGTTGAGTCTTGTGTCTAGTTTGTAGGGGTTGTTGACTATGGTGTCTACTCCTATTCATCTTGGATGCTGTGAAACGATTCAAGTCTGAAATTGCCTATTACCAAGCTTATAATACTATCGACCAGTATGTTGGGAAAGTCAAGTATAATAGTAAGTTGCCAATATATCTTGGTTCAAGAGAGATTGGCTGATACGACTAATCTTGAATGGTTTTTATTTAGGTATATTTATATTAAATGCCCTTTTTCTCTATGCTTGTCTTATAATTCAATCCACTGGTGGAAAGATACAGCCCACCTAATAAATACAAATTTATCCGCGGCGCTGCGTAACTGTCTTGCACTTGTTACCAAATCATAGTTAAGCCCTGGGTTGACAAGTAATTCTTAGCATACAACCTGTAAACCGTATCTATGAAAGAAACCCCAAGTCTATTCCCTGAAAACGCAGTTTAGGATATCTCATATTCACACCAACCCAATGCCCGGACACCCCATTCCTACCCATGATTCAATCAGTCTTCCCATCCCTCCGTATCCTGGGTCTTCCATCCCGTCTCTCGAAATCTCACGGTCCCCTTTCCGCCCCTGCTACCCTCGCCCAAATCCGGAGGTGCGGTTTCTCCCCTCTTCACGCCGTTTCCAACTCTTCTCCCCTTCGCAGCCGCCTTCATCCTCTTCTCCCTCTCCATGACCACGCTATCGCGGCTTTTCAAGCTCACCGGCGGCGGCCTCCCTTTGGATCTCTACTTCGCTGCGGCGGCCGCGGCTTGCTCTTCGTACTCCGTGCCACAGATCTCGTCTAACTCGCCCACGATGCGGATCATGTAGTCGAAGATAGTCAGCCCCTCCTTTGTTACCTCGGCGCGCTCCTCTTCCGTCAACTTTGACTCCGGGGGCGAAGTGTCCGCTTCTAGCGCCTCCTTGAACAGCCTCTTTAAATCCTCGCCATTCTCCGGCGTGTCAAAGAGGAAGAAGTTCAGAGGCGGTGGTTGCATGTGTTGCTTTCGAAGAACATCCTTGACGCAAAAGGCGTCATAAGCACCGGGCATTCTAAACTCGGGCTCGGGTTTGTCGGAGGATTCTAGACTCGACCAGAACCCGGTGCTCTGGTCGACGCGCTCGAGCGACGCTCTGATAAATCGTCCCCCGGCGAAGAGCGCCATGTACATGATCCAAGCATAAGCGATTAGGACGTGGGGATGCGCCTGAATAGCCTCGCGGATATGCTTCTTAAACTCGACCAGCACAGGCGCATGGGACACCGATTCCATTCGTGTGCGTACGAAGCCATCGTTCCGCCCGAGTAGCGTAACGATATCCTCCTGTAGGGGTCCCGAACGCGCAAAGCCCTCTATGCGTATGTCTGCTAAGAGCGAACGTATCCGAGGCTCTATCTTTGCAGTAGCAGGGGAGTCCTCTAAAATGTGGTCCCATTCCCTCTCGAAGGCCTGGTAGATGGGCGCGATGTGCAGTAGCCCTGTGACATAGTTCTTCGCATCATCAGAATATGGAGGGAGAGCTAGACGTAAGCGACGGGTAACTAGCTTGTTGAGCTTTGTGTGTAAGGGGCGTATAGCAATATTGATCTCCTCGCCCAGAGTAGGAGTAGCGGTAGTAGTGTCTTCAGTCTTGGAAGGCATATTGATAAGCGATGAAAAGCTAGGATTAGAGAAAGTATAGTACTTTTAGGCTATGTATGTAGGTTGATAGTTGCAATATTAAAGATTAAATAGATATAGGTATGTCAGGGAAAGCCGAGTAGGACTAAGTGAAGCCTGACTTAAGGTGGTTGGTTCGGTGCCTGAGCAGGTGACTGTTGTTTGTAAGAGTCGAGTCACACTCCCAGTCACGACCAAGATTATTTCCCGAAGAAATAACTAACGACGTTTACATATGACCAAGGCAAGTGTCTGTGTGTACCTACTATACCGACCAGTGGATAGGGTAGGAGTGATGGTTGCTGGTCTGGTTAAACAAGGTGAGAACACTCGGATATATAAACGGCGAGACGGTCCAACGAGAGGCAACCACGCGCTTTTGTAACCTTGAGTGATAATAACTCGGGCAATCCGATGCAAGAAACAAACCAAAAATGAGACGTTGCGGCTCTGTCGTGCACACCTAAATTTCACAACCCCGAACCTGTCAAACAAATCATGGCTCAAAGCCAAGCCAAGTGAGTGGTGACAACGTCAATGGCAGCGAGCATGAAAAATCACCGAGTTGCCACGCAAGCAATCAACAAAACCCCAACTAGGATACTTGCATCAGACTTCTACGCCTACGGTTTGAACGAACTGGGCATCTTGTAGAGGCGAGCGGCTACCTACCTCATATAGGTACTCATATATGTACATCTCTAGGTTACCCAGCTATGGCGCATCCCTGACTTGGCATTACTAGAAGAGACAAACACTCGTGTTTTAAAACCAGAACGATCTAAAAACCCCGAACGAATGGTTCGGATCGGGAGCCTACTGATGTCATTCACCGCTTGGTTTGGAAAATATACATACTATCACCTCGGAGGCTAGTGCCGTTATGGTCTAGGTTGGGTTCTCCGGAGCTGAGTCGAATGCTAAATACCTTATGCTCGGGTGTTAGTCATAACTTGGATTATCGTGAGAGCTTCCATATATGTGGATGATAGCATCTCAACAGCATGCGTGACTGTTGCCTACTTCCATACTTCATTAAGTAATATGTCTTATGACCTGTATCTCACATCTCACATCTCACATCTCACATGGGCTAGCTTATGAATTTAATCTCACTTGGTTATAAGTAAAGCACTGTTATAAATAGGCTAGACAATGTTTGAGAAGTCACCTGCTTATATGGCCTTAGGGATAAATGATTCAGACTTTAGTTGACATGTTGAATTTGATGACATATTATGAACCCTCATACGCACTCGGAGATAACCTTCATATTAGGTGGGTTGGTTACGTGCAGTATCCGTCTCTTAGTCCCGTATATGATATGGCCCGAGAATACATAACCTATCTATTCTATCTATGATATGTTAGGTTATGCCTGATTTCCATGCACCAGTTGCCAAACCCAGTTCTTATAACCGTGACGCCGCGTCACTACTAATAATCCCACCCAATAACAAAAAAAGGCCAATAAGGCTACCTAATGGGTAGAAAGCTACGGCTCCGCCGTTCTATTTCCTCTTTCGGGACCAGCTTTCGCCCCGTCATCCTCGTCATGACTCTCGTTGTTGACGAAAATGAAAGAAACCAGTACAATTGCAGCGCCGATCCAATATATGAAGCTGGAGTATTGCGCATATTGGATCATCTCACCGATTAGAGACAGTGGTATAGTTAAGGATAGACCAACAGTGACAACCAACGGCGTTGTGAGTAACATCGCGTAGGCCCACGAGATGTCCGAAACGAAGGAAGATAGCGAATTGAGTATGATAATTGCCCAGATCTTACCGCTTGGAGGGAATTCGAACTGTTCTCTGTTAGTTACTCCCGAAAGCCCTATCGTGATTGTAGGTAAGATACGTACCGGCTCGATTCCTGTAAAATGCAGGATGAAAAACAGAGGCCACAGAAAAATAATATTAAAGACTCCCACAAGTCCGAAAAATAAGGGCATGTTCACGCGCTCCTCGTTTCCAATACGCACCTTCATCACCACAACGTACAGCCCATAAACGACCGCGCTGAAGAAGGCCATAGCGTCGCCGATGGCGATCTGCTGCTGGCTCTTATGCGGGAAGTTTCCCCGGCTGTCGTCATTATCGCCCGAGAGGTCGACGGTTGAGATGAGGATGATCCCCGTGAGTGAAGCCAGTACGCCGATTAGCTTACGCACCGAGAACGGCTCGATACGCATCACGGCACAGAATACCAGCGTCCATACGCTACTCGTAGATGTGAGGATCGTAACGCTCGCCACGCTCGTGTACTCCAGGCACGCCGATGCAAAGTAGTTACCCAGGAACCAGATCATGCAAAACTCGAGGCTGTACCGCGCCGTCTCCAGGAATGAGAGCTTGTCCGACGTACTCGGCGGATCAATTATTTCGAAACTTCCCTCGTCGTCGGATAGCAGCCTCTCGCCTACTGTAACCGCCTCTTCCTCTTCCTGTGTCTTTAGCCTCTCTACTCCTTGGTACCTCGTTCTCCACTCCTGCATCGCCTGGTTCTTGACGCGGGTAAAGCCGCCATTCTGCATTATATGCTTTATGGATATAGGAATCATCGACAGCGCAAATACGGACGTGTTAACATACACTAGGAAGAATGGCTTATCGTAGGTGTGATCGGAAAATATATACTTGCGACTATGTTAGCTAAAGACGCCCCCTAGTCCTACTCGTAGAATACTCACGCTGGCGAGGAAATTCGACGCCGTCCACAGGAATACGGTGACTAGTAATAGACTAATACCCAGAGTCCTCCTGGCCATATTCCTGATCCCTCCTTTTCGTCCTAAGCTTGGGATACTTCCCCAGGACGCGGATGACCCGGACATGTTCTCGGATGGTACCGGTGGCTCGGAAAGTCTCCTTCTAGGAACATCAAATCCGAGCTGCCTCTCATCCACAGTAATTATCGATTCCGGCGCCGCCATATCGTCGTCTGATAAGCGCAGTGTAGCGCAGAAACCCTTTGTAATCTATGAATCCGGCCGGGGTGTAACAACGGTCGCGTGAGACGGAAGCATTTATTATCCGAACAAAAAAAAAAGAGGGGATCGACGTTGATAGTCGCAAGGATCGAGTCTACATAGGGGCCGACAAGGACATAAAGACAGAGTAGAAAAGAACGAAAATTGTCCAAAAGAGGGTGAATTTCGAGGGTTTGAAACATGCACATTGAAGGGTTCGATCCTATTGATGCGGCGCTGTCGGCCATTCAAGACGCCGGGATATTTAAAACAGGTACCTAAGACCTAAGACCCAAGACCCCTGAGCTTCTGCGTATCATATCTAGCGTGTTATTTTAGGTCTTGCGGGACACTGACAAGACTACCTAGGTGGCTAACCTAGGATGTACGTACTCAGTTTAGGATGTACCTATCAGATCATCCCACCACATAATTGCATGTGCTATGCATTCTGGAGCACATGCATTTGGTTTGATTAATGATATGCCTATGATGAGTTGGCTGGTGACTGGCAGGCCTACGAATCATCACCATACTCTCGGTTAGGCAGCAAGAAACGTCACAAAATTGAAGGCGATATCGAAAAAAACACATTGTAGGATATGAATAAAAATAAACACTTCTGATTGCTACCTGAGAAATATCGAGATGTCTCAATCGGGACCTTGATACGTAAACCTGGATGATGAAAAGACGCCTAAACCTCCATTTTGCAGTGTCGTACTGCACTGTTGAGACTAAAAACCAAAGATGCAATGTATCAACTGTCTCTATACACTCATTATGGACGCGGTTCTGAGAATCCACTGCTCCGCATCTGTAACATGTCCCTGAAAGCCCCTAAAATCCGAAGTCTTTCATACAAAGAGCTGAACGATGGTTAAGAAAGCGCATTAGGCTGACCAAGGTTCAGCCGAGCTGGGTAACCTCTAAGATTCATAGGATGTCGCATATAATGTCGCATAAAATGGACGAAATGCCCCTAATATTCTAGTTGATGGTCCTTAACATGCGCATCCATCGCGGTCGTTCTCAATGTGGATGTTGATAGGGTCTTGGAAGTCACCACTGAACTCTTCGGACTCCTCTTGTGCCAGGGCATGTCGTGCAATGACTACGATATAGATTAGAATAGGAGCATATATGAAAATAGGATTAAGATATACCATCAAATGCTTGCTCAACATTGACCGCCTCCTTCGCACTAGTCTCAAAATAGGGGATATCGCCCTTAGACTGGCAGAAAGTAGCTGCCCTCTTACTTGAGACCTATATATAATGAGTGAGTGAGCCGGTTGATGGCGGGTCCATCTTAACTTACTACTCGCTTGCTCTCGTCAACATCGATCTTGTTTCCAAGGACGACCTTTAGTCCGATTAGCCTGGTTCTGGATCATGGCAGAACGATTGTTCTTACGAAAGGGAAGTTTTCGGGATCCCTCGGAGAAGCTTGGATTAAGAACTCATCTCTCCAAGAATCTAGCGAATCGAAACTCTTGGAGTTGTTGACATCAAAAACCAGTACGCAGCAGTCGGCACCTCGGTAAAACGCAACACCTAAAGATTGAAAGCGCTCCTGACCAGCTGTATCCCAGAGCTGCTTCTCGTCAGCAATCGCCTTTGACGAGCTTGTCACCATATCATACCTGCACTGTGACTTGTTGGTCGTCGATGAGGACCTTCTGAATTAAGAAGTCGGCACCGATGGTGGCCTTGTAACTGGCGCTGAATTTCTTGTTGACCTGTCCAGAGTGGGATATTAATTTCGGGCTATTTGGGCATCGTAACCGGGGTGCTGTGGCGGGAACTGGTCGGGTTGGGAATCATAACATACATATTGATTCAGCAGACTTGTCTTTCCAACACCGCTGTCGCCAAGGACAATAACCTAAGTATATTGCATGTCAGTTTATGAAGTCACACTGAAAATGCGTATGCAATCGGAATAGTATTTATTGTTACCTTCAAGATAGCCCCCTTCCTAGAAGCCATGGCGAAGATCAGAGGTGAAGCTGGAGACTGGGTAGGTTGCTTTAAGGTCGAAGAAGTTCACGGGTTTAATTTGGGTTTATTAGGGACCTCGGATTTATAGGCTGGGTTAAGTAGCGGGTTTCCGATTGAGGTACGGAACTTGTGCGACAGTTAATGGTAGGTCGTGATAGGACCGTGTTGTATTGTTTGAAGTTGAGACGGGAGTTGTAGTTGCAGATGTTATTGTACCTGTTTGAATGCCTGGGGTTGCTTAGATGGATTAGCGCTGCCTGGCCGACTGGCCGGTCGGACCTGCGCTGATATATACCTGATTCAGATCCTAGCTGATAAGGCGCTGTAGCTTGTTGCTCTAGTGAGCACGAGATCAAGCGCTAATAGGTTAGGTACACTACCTAGGTAGGTACCTACATATGTACCTAGCTGGTCGCAGCCACATTCCCCAACCTAGCACAATGATTTGAAGCCACATGCAGATGCAGGCACATAGGTACATGAATTTAAGTTCAATGATGTCTTCTAAATTAATGGGCAGCATCTAAGGTTTGTTTCAATCGTACATGACTATTGTGCTTTTACTTAATGGAGTTAGACTTTCTTACCAGGTACAACATATGACGAGAGCTGATAGAAGCCAAATAATTTCGAATGACCACCGGTGTTTCCTAGGTGGTATTTATACCTTGGGCTGACATCTCAGTTGAGAAGCTATCGTAGGAAACAATACGGAACATCACCGGGACTTTCGTATCTGGTCTTAATAGATCGATATGTACATTAATCTAGGTTACTCGGTTTCTAGAACCGAAGAGCCTCCATTTTGTACCACTACTACCTAACATTATAGAAGGCAAATTCTAAGAATCCCTACCAAGGGTTAAGTAGATCTTCACACTGAGTCTTGTCATGATGTCATTCTTCATCATCCCCCTTATGGCATCACAGTTATGACTGTTTTAATCGGCTGCTATTGTCTTAAGTCATTGAATGTTTTTATACAAAAGCTTACTTCTCTCTATTTTATCCTAAGTTGTATCAATATTCAAGAAAGTACCTATTCATTATTATTAAGATTACAGTTATTCACAATGGTAGCTATTCGTATTAGCAGCTCTTTAAATGCCTTAAGGGCTACCCGGACACGCGCTCCTCGAGCTTGCCGTACCTTTTCAGCAAGTTCCCGTTACTTTTCACCAGGTTATGGCGATGGAGAAGGAGACCCGGTTGGACAGGACCCTCAGAACCAGCCAGCGTCAAGTGATGCGCAGCAATTATCAGAACACCCTGGCCCAAGCCCACCGGACGTGGGTAAGGGAACAGGAGGTGGTCCTACGAAGGCCGCCTTGTCAGATAGTATGAAAAATGCTGCTGCTCGCGAGTCCGGACAGAAGTCCCCCGAGGACGCCAGCGCGCAGTCTGGGGGTTCTAGGTCCAAAGAGGCTACCGAAACGGGAGGAAGTCCCACTGGCGGGAGTATTGCCAACGCGGCGAGCCAGAATGGAGGTGAGGCATTGAAGGGTCCTCAGGGCAAGGGCACACCCAGTCCCAAGATCTATAACCAGGCGGTGCCCGGCGTCAAGGAAGGCCTGAGTGACGAGCAAAAACAGGAAGTCGAAAGACATAACCAGGACTTCGAAAAGCGTCACGACCGGGCGGCACCCGCCTCAGATGACAAGGTCGACCCTAAGTTTTGGAAAGGGACGTGAGTAATGCGTGCGGCTGTTCTGCATTATTGTCGTTGATGTTGTTTGCTGCTGCGTCTCGATATATTATGGTATACTGATTTGTAATGGGCATAGCGGCGGTCGTGAACGGGGAGAGGGGAAAGGAGGAAATGGATTGGATTGGAATGCTTAGGTGAATGAATTGTGTTGTATCTGCTTAGGAGGGAGGCATTCTGATGTGATGTTTGAGGTGTACGAAACGTGCCTTTTATATTCCGTACAGATTAAATTATTGTTGAAGTTTATTGCCATAAATATCATATCTAGATACTGAAGTTGTACCATCGAACTCATCCAACGTAAATAAGCGAAGTAGTAACTAGGTAGTTTGCAGTTCACGATAATAGAAATATAGGTATATGCTGATTTGGAAGAATAGAAATTACATCATGTAATTAGAGCTTTGAAGGTGAGTTGAGGCTCGGATTCTCGGATCTAAATCCATCAATGGCCGCGCTTGCCCCGCTAGCTTATCCCCAGCAATTAAAAACCCCTGTACTTCTTTAGGTACTTTAGGTCCTCGTTAAACATTTTCAACTCCTTATCCAGCAAAGCAAAGCAAAGCGTTCCGATCAACTCACCATATGATTTCGATGTGATCCCATGGATAGCGAGGCATATACTAGACAGAGATTCGATGGCGGATGAGGATCTCCTGCATAGGATTCACGGATTGGAGGACTTGGACCTAGCCGCGCTTCTATGTCTTGTTAGTCGCGAACACTGCATCGTCAGCACCGAACCAGAAGAGCTCGACGCTTTAGTTGAAGAACTGCGACTTGTTGCATCGCAGACTTTCAATCTGTCGTCCGCTCTCGTAGATTGCACACCACATACCACTCTCGACGACCTCGCCGCCTCTATCCAGCTTCGCCCAGCTACACCACCGCAACTCTATCCCCCGACTCCGCGCACTCCATCAGCCTCCCCCCTCCGACGTCGAGGAACCGATGCGTCCTATTTCCACGGCAGAACTGCGACTCCCACCACGCCGAGAACCCAAAATCCGTTTACGGGATCGCCGCCGCAGATTGCCAACGTAATCCTAGCGAAGAATCTCGACCGAGCTCCTAAGGATGTACAGATCCAATGTCTGGAACTTCTACGGACTAGGCGGATCCTGACGCGCACCAGCGTGCAGGCGGCACCTAAGCAGTTCTTGTTTGTGGCCGTGCTCGAGTCCGCGGGCGCGGGACGGCTCGTGTCTCACCTGAACGACCTCTTCTATGTTTCGCACTGGCACGATCCCGAGGATGGCTTTGCGCATTTGGAAGAGGAGGATGATAGAAAAGGAGGAGAGACGGCTAGTCTATATAGCGCCTCGAGTGTAGTTCGGCGGAGCACCGCGGACTCGATGTCTGTTCCCGTACTTACATCTACGCCTCGCGCGGGTCCAAGTCGTAGCAGCGCGACCTACGTACACCGGGAAGATCAACTCGCCGCGGACCAAATATCCCTCTCTAGCTCACGCGCACCTTCATTCGCGTTCCCGTCTATCAGCGAGTCTGATATTGCAACACTAGCGCTGCAGGCGCGGCAGGTCAATCAGGAAATTGAAGTGCTGCGATATCAGATGAACATCGTGTCCTTTATACGCATGCATCGAGCCGTTGCGCCAGGCGGAGGCGGCGCGACACCTTTAGCTACCAAACACCTCGACCAGCTGGCCAAGTGTCTTGCTGCACTGCACGGCCTCGACTACGTTACCCCGTCTCTAGTTGGGCTTGCAGTTAAGAAGATATACCCACATCGCATCCGGATCGCGGCTCCGGGGCAGGAACGCAGCATGCAATGGGGCAGTGATCTTGGGGCTATCGAGACACTGCTGGAGGGTATGGACGCGGAGTATGTGATAGAGGATGTATTGAGTATGGTTGAGGCACCATTATAGATAGATAGGTTATGATACCCAGGGTTAAGTCATAGTTCGATAGCACATAAGAATAGAAGTAATAAGGTCTAAACATCGATTGCGTCCTAATGTTTTCATTCGTGATCTTCCTATAGTACAGTTCGCCCATTCCCTATTATACTTATCTTCGTCGAAGACGGAAATGCCGGCGCCGTATTTCGTACTACACTTTTACAACCAGATCCGAAAAACGCCGGCCTCGCAGGGCAACTACCTAAGTTATCCGCCTCCGCCGTGTCCGTGCCTCCTCGTCATTAATTATCTAAACTTTCCAATAGTCACGTCCCTAATCTCGTTAGGGTAGCGTGTAGTACGATTAAAAGGTCTGAGTGACCTTGCAGGACCAGCCGGAGTTCTTTGCTAATAAGGGCAGACTGAAATCTCTTAGTATTTGTATCGGGTTAAAAGGGAAAAGGGGGCGTGATAAGCTTACCTGGCTCCTAGACACCAGCCCAATTCGTTACCCTTGATCTTCTTAGCGATCTTGACCTCCCGGTCAATAGGCATTTCGTAACCGCTGTGCAGCAATCCTATCATGAAGTTGAGGTCCAAGCAGTACTCGCCACGATCACGTAGCTCCTCTAGGGCCTCTGGAATATTAGTGAATGTGCCCCACGAGTCCTCGCCGCCGCACACAGCGTTAGCGAGGTCGTGCAGTTCCCGGAGGGTGAACGAATCGGGCATTCCAAGAGGCTTAGTGCGGTCGTAGAAGAAAGAGAAGATGTAGACATCCTCCTTAGCGAAGGTCTTGGCTAGTGGGGGTTGGTGGACGCCGTTGAAAGAGCAGGGTGCAAGCTTACACTCGGCGTCCTTGTATAGAATCCTCTCAGCCAGAGCGCGGCACTGTGCCGGAGCAGGGTTCATGGGGCCGGTCACGTTAAGCCGCAACTCGCCGGTGCCTAGGGGGCTGTCGTCACCAAGTTTAACCGTAATCTTATCGGTCCGGCCCGCATTGATACAAGGGTGGTTGAGAATGGGCTTTTCTAGGAAGGCCTTGCTCTTCTCCTTCTTGTAGATATCATGTAGCAAGTTCAAGTGTATAGAATTGCGAGCCGCCATCAATCCGTATCCAAGGTGAGAGTGCTGGTAGAGCTCAAAGTTTCGTCCGCCGAAGGAGAGCTCGTACTTGTGGTCGCCTTCAGCCAGCTTCTCGGGCATGCCGCCAGAAGCAAGTCCCTTAAACGTAGGCTCAAAGACAATTTGCGTGGAACCACCACCAAGATCAAAGATGGCAGCGGTTGGGCTCTGGTCAGGTCCTCCAATCTTTCCTAGAAGGTAGTTGGTAGTAATCCAGGCGTATACACCCTCGTCAGAACCGTCCATGATCGCAACGCCATTCTCTTCTCGGGAGACAACGGGGAAGGGGTAGTCCTTCTCAAGGTGCTCCCGAACGGTCTCAAGGATTTTCCCACTGGCCTCCTGGCCGATCATTCGCAGACCAGCGGTCGCCTTTACGGCAACCGGGCTGCAACCCTTCAACTTGTCGGGAACGGTCGCCATCGCCACTTCCATGAGACTATCCAAGGTCTTCGCGGCGGCGACTGGGTCGTCCTTATACTTGCTCAAGCCGCCTACGCTCTTCTCGGTCATTTTGAACTCTTCCTTCTCTAACTCTGGGGTCGGGCCACAGTTGTTGAACTTGTAAACATGGATACGAGATCCAGTGCTGCCAGCGTCGATCATGAGGACATATTGTACGATTGGCTTGTCCTTAGAAAACGATTTCGTACATTTCGAGGTTCCGTATGATGAATCGGACGGCACCTGGCCGCCAGAATGCGACACTACAAAAATCAATTAGATTGCTATTTCGAATGGAACTATAAGACTCAGTTACGAGGCAACATACCACCCTTATATACTTCTACACCCCTTGGCGAGATGTAGTAGAACAGGAACACCAAGAAGACAACGATGGCCGTGGTCTTTAGCCATCGCGTCCTTTGGGCCTGGTTCATGGTCGCAGCCTGTAGTTTCTCCACGATGCCGGGTTCTCGGTGGCCCGAGTCGTAACGTGCAGGTTTTTCGTGAGGGTCGTGTCTAACTTGCTTCGTAGGCAGTGAAACTGATGTTCTCCTCATAACCTTTTACATGCGATGCATCCCCAAGAAGACCGGGGAATTTAATTGGTAACTAGTGAAGGAGTGAAAGAAAAGGCAAAAAAAAAAAAATTTAAAAAAGAAAACCTAGAAAAAAGCCAAAGAGGGATCAGCTTGACACACGAAAGTCTAAACCGGACAGGAGCGAGGATCAATGCCGGATATGAGAATCTTTAAATAGGATAATGTGGAAAAGGGGGGCGGCGAACACGAGGCAACACAACTTGTCCAAATGGCAAATGGCAAATGGCAAATGGCAAATGGCAATCTAGAAGATTTTCCAATTTCAACGGTTTTTTTTAATGTTCCCTTATCGATGACCCCTGAAGATGACTTGGCTGCTTGAATTTAGTTGGCACTCCAAGGCACTTCGCTACTATTTCCAGTGACTTAGCTGGATTAATTACTGCATACCCCTGTCATCTTTGTACGTAACCCCGTACCCTATGTAGCAGCCCTGGCCGACCTTGCAGCCTTGGCATCTAGAATCTACCTAGCATCTGGCAGGTTCAAGCCTCGACTTCCCACCGCCACACTGAGGTACAATACGGATTACATATGTACCTATTGACCGAATGGGAGAGTCAGCCGCAATTTAACTCCGGTGGGAAGGTACATAGCCCTATGTACCTTTGTTACTAGAAGGTACTGTGACGCTGTTTGTTTAACATCGAGTTGACGTACATATCGTTGCCTCCTGTCATAACTACTACCTATTATTCGGCGGATTCAAATCTCACTTCCATTAGCTAGACTTAATTATTTCTCATATAACTTCCCATCGCGAGGTCCCTTTCTCCTCAATTCTGAGCCTAGAGTTTAAATATTCTATTCAATTACAATTACATAGACGCTGAGAAGACAAGGCGGACTTATAAGAATTTAGACGGCGATAATAATTACAACGCAAACCATTACTAAAAGAACTTTCGCGATGGACGTCCATCTTCTTGTTTACGACCTATCAAATGGTCTAGCTAAGCAGCTGTCCCTTGGACTACTAGGCTTTCAGCTTGATGCTATTTATCATACTTCAATCGAATTAGACAACAAGGAATATGTCTATGATAGTGGCATAAATGTAATCCGGCCCGGAACCTCTCATCTGGGTCAACCGTTAGAACGAATTCATCTCGGGAAGACCGAGCTACCTATAGAGGTGATCCTTGAATATCTCGACTCGCTCAAGCACATATACACCCCCGAGGTAAGTTAAAGAGACAGTCTCGACGGGTGCTATATGCTGACTAGGTAAATAGGCCTATGATCTGTTTCGACATAACTGCAACAATTTCAGCAATGATTTCGCCATGTTTCTATTAGGAAAGGGGATACCAAGCCACATAGCGAATATGCCGCAAGCTGTTCTTGATTCACCATTCGGAAGAATGCTACAACCTCAACTCGTGCGAATGGTTGAGCAGAGAAAAGCTCAACGAGGTGGACTCCTCGGCATCCAGGATAATGTTCAACCACATACAAACGGTACCGCAAACGGCGCCGGTTCATCTGCTCACTTTCAACGTCCAAGCGTAATAAATGTTACTAATATCCGGGAGTTTGATGCCGTGCTAGAAAAAGCCAAGAAATCATGTGCCATCGTCTTCTTTACTTCGGCAACCTGCGGTCCCTGTAAAGCACTTTATCCTCTATACGACGGTCTGGCAGCGGAGCATGGGAGTAAGGTTGCGGTGGTAAAGGTTGATATATCTCGAGCCTTTGATGTTGCGCAGAAATACTCCATTAGAGCAACACCTACGTTTATTACATTCGTTCATGGTAAAGAAGGAGAACGATGGATGGGCGCAGATGCTACTCGGCTTAAAAGTACCGTCGAACTACTGGTTCAGATGGCAGTCCCGAGCCATCCGCATCGAATGCTTAGACTGCCTCGCTTTGCGAATGCTGAGTTGAAACCAGTATTATACGAAAAAGTCCCACCACTTTCGAAGCTATTGTCTAAGCTAGGGTCAAAAGCAGACGACCCTTCGGTTCAGAGTGTGAAGAACTTCATTGAAACTCGGTCATCTGAAGGCCCTGCAGAAGCTCCACTACCTGACTTGCCCGCCTTCTCTAGGTTTATATGCTCTGCAGTTGAATCTCTGCCCAAGGAAGTCGTGTTCACAGTCGTTGATCTCTTCCGCTGTGCCCTTGTGGATGAACGGTTTAGCGGGTACTTCGCAGAAGAGCATGATCAGAAAACAGTGGTCACCCTCCTTGACGTTGTGAATAAAGAGAGCGAATGTCCTTACGCTCTAAGGCTTGTTACTTTACAGATGGCCTGCAATCTATTCTCAAGCCACCTATACGCCGAACAGATCCTCAGACAAGAGACGCTACGAGGCCATATCACGCGGCTCATTTCATCAAGCTTCCTGGACGACAGTCGCGACAATATTCGAGTAGTTGCAGCATCGCTACTATTCAATGTGGCTATCGCGAATTATCAGACGAGACAGGAGTCAGGAGATGTCCTTCCCGAGGATGACCAAGTAGAGCTCGCCGCGTCGGTAGTAGAAGCCATATCTCAAGAAGAATCCTCTAACGAGGCATTGCACGGCATGTTGTTAGCGCTTGGGTTCCTAGTTTATTGTGCGCCTATAGAAGGTGACCTTGTAAACTGTCTGAAAACTATGGATGCAGAAGGAACTATTCTTGGAAAGAAGAAGGTTTTCTCAAAAGAACCCCTGATCACCGAAGTAGGGAGTGAGTTATTGGGGAAGGGTCTTGCGAGAAGATAAGGTCGTTGCCATAGCATCTGATGCTCATTTTTGTTCAGTTGTACCCTGGATACAGTTGTCTAAGATATTTTGTAGCATGCGTTGGTTTCCTGGTCAGAATTCATAGAATGTAGACTACTTTCTCTTTCGTGCACATGAGAGGACATCTTACGAGAATAGAATATACATTCCCAATATATGCAACTTTTAATCCATATCACTTCTCGTGCCTATCAATTTCAATTTCACAACGTCGTATTTTCTAATTTACCAAGAAAGCACTAGGTTACATACCTCCTAACGTAACATCACAAAAACTTGATTAATTGCCCCTCTCTTGCGCAAACGGTGGTAGGCGTAAGCCACAAGTGGACGTCACTATCACAACGCGGGGCAATCGGCGCCGTCCCACCGCGCCGCTTGCCGCTGCTCTGGCAACCAGTCCGCCCCTGTACAATCCCAAGTAAATAAAGAGACCCCCCCGGTCCACTTCCCCATTCTCCAGATGCCTGTCTACGGCATTCCATATCCATATCAGCAGCGCACTAACGACCTCATCAACGGCATTTGTATAACATTAACTGGAATGCTAGAATCGCGTTTTATGTCGTCGTTAAATATGAGAACCATGCATTCGTCTGCTTCAACACCGTCTCTGCGTGCTCGAGATGGCATACTGCCGCCCCAAATGAGGATGGATGCGGGAGGTAATGTGAGGGTCGTCGTGAGAGTCCGGGCGTTTTTGCCCAGAGGTATGTATTGCCATTTGTCATTTATGATTCTGCAATTACCTATTTAGTTACGGGATCAATCGATGGATAGGTAATTAACTCGTATTATAGAGATCGAAAGGGGTGCGGAGTGCTTGATTAGCATGGATCCTCACACCCAGATGACTACACTTCATGTGCCAAACGATCATGATCCAGCGAATGCCAGAGCAAAGTCACGCAAGGTGGTCGAGGAGAAGTCATTTATATTTGATAATTCCTTTTGGAGTCATAACATGAGGGACAGATATTACGCACATCAAGAAGATGTATACAATTGTCTGGGCGAGGAATTCCTCGACCACAACTTCGAGGGTTACCATACTTGCATCTTTGCCTATGGCCAAACTGGTTCCGGCAAGTCTTACACAATGATGGGCACGCCCGACCAACCAGGACTCATTCCGCGGACCTGTGAAGACTTGTTCCAGCGCATTGAAGCAGCGCAGGAGGAAACGCCTAATATTTCATATCACGTACGAGCCTCCTACTTCGAAGTATACAACGAGCACGTCCGCGACTTGCTTGTTCCCGTGATACCAAACCAGCCTCCGTACTATCTGAAGATCCGCGAGTCGCCAACTGAGGGACCGTATGTGAAGGATCTGACTGAGGTACCAGTGCGAAGCCTGAATGAGATTCTTCGGTACATGAAGACGGGAGATTCAAGTCGTACGACAGCGAGCACCAAGATGAACGACACGAGTAGTCGAAGCCATGCCGTGTTTACCATCATGTTAAAGCAGATCCACCACGACATGGAAACGGACGAGACCACGGAACGTAGCTCGCGAATCCGGCTGGTCGACCTAGCGGGCAGCGAGCGAGCCAAATCTACTGAGGCGACTGGTGCTCGGCTGCGTGAAGGCAGTAACATCAACAAATCCCTAACAACGCTAGGCCGGGTCATCGCAGCGCTCGCGGACCCGAAGGCGCAACGTCCTGGCAAGAGGCACAGAGACGTCGTGCCGTACCGTGACTCCATCCTAACGTGGCTACTGAAGGACTCCCTAGGAGGTAACAGTAAGACGGCGATGATTGCGTGTATCGCGCCGTCTGACTACGAGGAAACGCTATCAACGCTGCGGTACGCGGATCAAGCGAAGAGAATCCGGACTCGTGCCGTGGTCAACCAGGACCACATCAGCACGGCGGAGCGAGACGCACAGATTGCAGCCATGGCCGAAGAAATCCGAGTATTGCAACTATCTGTATCAGACTCGCGGCGCCGCGAGAAGGACGCCAAGGAGAGCGAGGAGCGTCTAGAGGAGTACCAAAACCGTGTCGCGGCCATGCAACGCATGATGGAAGAGCGTAGCCTAGTGTCTGAAGGGAAGATCCGCAGTCTGCAGACTGAAAACGAGGCTTTGAGACTACATCTTAAACTTGCGCTTGATAGCCTTAAGAACCCTATTCCAGAGGTGGTTGTTAAGAATGAAGGGGATGAAGCGGATAAGGAGAACGCAGAGAAGGGCCGCGCCAGTCCTGTTGATGAGGCATACTACGGCGAGGATGACGGATACGGGTCGGATGTGTATGAGGAGAAGGCGAACGATGTTCAGGACTACATGCACGACCTCCTGGAGGATTTGGCGTTGTTCAGAAGGAAGATCGGCGATGACAAGGGGAGGTTTTTGGACGAGGAGGCAAGACACCCATTGGGTGTCAAGGTGAATATTTAATGCTTGGAGTAGGCTACGTTCTATGTGGTATGTGGCTGGTCCAAAGAGAATAAGTCTCTTGGTATTGCTGAATAGCAAGGTGTTTGGAGTACCGGTTGGATGGGCACTGGCAAACCCGAGTGCAACTGCCGGGGGGTTAGTTAATAGGGGATTCAACGCCCAGGTCCAGTGAGTGTTGTACACATAGGAATTGAGAATAAGCTAGTTAGATAAACTTACGAATTTAAGAATGTATGGCTAACAGGTGGATTTTACGTTTCCTTGTGACTACGAATATGGCATTGTTGTGTTGCTTCATTACCAAGAGTCCGGACAAATGATACTAAGGAATAAAGAGATCCGCTGAACTCCATATCGTACCTATACGTGTAAGTGAGCGTTTGGAGGGGTGGGAAATACGTCTCAAGGGACTAAAGTCTTACCAATAGTTGACGGCAACGCAGATACCTTCTTCGGAACATGATTGCGAGACTTTATGGTACCTTAATATTGGCCGTAAGCACTCCAATATTCCCCAGGACATATCGGATTTATACGCTGACGCTAGCACTCACCACATAGCTGGTAGATATAGCATATCACCTGGCTCAAGCGTAACCCTCAGGGGCCGTGCTAGATGCGAATACTTCGTGCTCCGTATAGTTGGATTATCGGGGTCCCAGGTTGCAAAGGGGACTTTGTCACCATCCTCTTTTTGTAAGCGCAGACCTCGGGCCTCTCGGATATAAGATGCGGGCTCGAGCTGTTGCTCGTTAACGCACGGCTGGCACAGCGCGGGCAACAAGACGAAGTGCTTGCGCCCTGCGACTTGTACATATACGTTTTCATAGTTGTCGCGGTGCAATGCGGTTACCGACGCGGAGGAACCGATCCATAGGTTCACGGCGTCGGGCTCGTTTTGCAAGGCGATGCGTGCGAAGGGGATGGAGGGTGGTACTTCGGAGTAGAGTGAGGAGTACTCATTGCGCAGGTTATCATTTTGCGTCTGGGCATACCGTACTTCCCCTCTGCTCTCAGGTGAGGAATGGGATGATAGCTCTTGAGATGTCAAGTAATCGAGAAACGAGCCGAAGGGTTGCTCCTCCTCGTGCGGCTTGGCAAATATCAAATGGCCGTCTTGATCGGTGGGAGCATCGGCGTTCCCATACGGTGTTACCGCGACATTGACATGGTGGCCGGCGAGCGACTCCCGGAGATACGAGGCAGTCCATCGTTTCACGGCCGGCCAGTCGGAAGCTCCACCGCGTACGACGAAGGGCGTATTCCGCGCTACGTACCTCATGAACTCGAGCGGGCTCGGCTCCTCGTCTAACTCCTCGACTGAGCCGGCGTTGAGCTCGTTAAAGCTGGTGATCAGCTCCGCGATGGGGTCGCCGCTTAGATCTTCGCTTTTCTCCATCTTTTCCGGATGGGTCGACTGGCTGCAGCGGTGTCCGTTATTCGGGACCGGATGATACGTTCTCCAGTGAAGGGGGTACGGTTGGTGACAGCAATATGATATGATATGTTTATATGATATGTTACAGGTAAAGCTGGAGGGATGCATCCACCGGTACCGCGCACGTAGGTACGTTTACAGTTTATGATCTTTGATTAGCAGCTCCCGAGAATCTGGTTTGGGGAGATCTAATTACCAACCCTTGCCTAATCTGCCCGGGACGCACCAATAACGGCACGCCAATCGAAGGCATCGTGAGAAAAAGTGAGCTGATTCTCACTTGACGAACCCCGCCCGCGACCGCTGAGGATGGAGTTGATTTTCTTATTAGGTAGCAATATAAGCGGTCAGTTACCTCGCGCAGCATGGGTTGATGACAAGTGACGGAATTTCATAAATATAAATATAAGGTATGGGAGAGCCCAGCTTTGCTGTTTTCCCCCCTAGTCCCCGTTGCGACGTCTACATACTTACATATATATCTCTATTGCATACTCCTCACGATCCTACCTTGCTAACCTAGATCTGCTTGCATTTCCTTCCGTCCTTCGATACCTCGGTCATGAGCTAGGTATTGGCGTCACGACGATGCATCAAACAGCTACAGCCACAGCCAATGCTGCATCATAGCTCAGCTTCCTTAATATGTTGATAGACATGTCGTTTGCTACTGATAATATATATCTACGGATGATCTTTTAGGTATTTTTTTTTCTTTGTTGGGAATTCTTCGACACGGCACTTTGCCTAATATTGGGAGGCGTTCGCCAAAAGCCAGGGCCAATTTTGTTGGAAAAAAAAAAGAAGAAAAATCAGAGGACAAAGCAAAGGTGCACATTTCAGACCGAAAATGCAGGAGATTCCAGCTATGAGGGGGAAGAGTGGAGTGCCAGTTAGGTACCCTGTAGGGGGGTTTTCCAGGGGATCGACGAAGTACTTTTGTACCTTGTACTGTTGAGGGGCTTGCTTGGAGGGGCTACAACGACGTTTTCCTAGGTTACCAAGGAATAGGATCTCTACCCGGCCGTCCGCGAGTCCCGCTAATCCGCCCCGCCGGCGCGCCTCTCAAGTCCCAAGTCCATGTCTACCTTGTCCCAAACTTGGCACCTATGTACGCTACTATGAGAGAACGGATGGAAGTCGCAAAGGAAAAAGAAACAGTCTGTACAATCACAATACGTAAGGCACACTTACCTGGCTTGTTTAGTCTATTGGTACACTTATCCAGTACACTGTAAGTACAAACCTCTTCCCTGTCCTTCCTGCAACTCTGCAACTTGGAAATCTTCAAAGCGCCCGCCCGAGATACAACAATCGAGATCCGA